GAGGCATTACGTACGACTTCCTGCGACCGAGTAAGGAAGAATCGAAGATTTCTACACAGCACCTCACGGGAGGAGGTGTCCGCGCGCGCGATACCACCAGAGATATACCGTCGAGCGACGAAAAATTCCCAGGCTAACTGCGAGCTGCGAGGACGAGGTAAGGCGGCTCTGCTCGAGCCCGGTATACGGTTGCGTTAATTGCGGAACTCGTGTGTCGTGGCGGACTCGTGGCACGTAACGGTTCATAAAAATCTCACGAGTATTTCTCCGATTCGAAGCGCCTTTGATGGCGACCTCGAGATTTTTCGAGGAGCGCGCAGGAGTCTTTAGAGATAAAGATGGGAAAAAGACAAAGAGTAAGTTGAACCGAAATTAAAAATTAAGAGTGAAATCTCATTCTTCTTTCGAAACTGATTCAATTTTCATTCTTTAGAGTCGGACTCTATTCCAAAGAATTTAGAGAGTATCGATATAAATTAACTTTAACCCTTTTCTAATTCTTCCAATCAGAAAAAGATGGAGAGCTAATTAAACCGAGATTAAAATTAAACATTGGTAGAAACAGGCGAACGATGAATTATCGACAAATTGCAGTTTACAAATTGCTGTCGAATAAAATACATGCGGAATTATCATATGCGAGGACGATATCTGTTTCATACTTGCTCGCCTCGATGGTTGGAATGTTTTTTTAACGAAGTGCGCTTGTTTGTGGGAAGTAATATCCGGTATTTGTCATACCAGGACACTTAGTCGTCTTAATTCGTTAATCCGCGCGGCCATTGTTTGCAACGATGCAAATTTACGTGGTTGCAAATGAGTTTCGATTCATCAACACGTCGCCATTACGTTTAATGCACTACAGATTAATACATTGAAAAAATGTGTGTATAAAATTTTATCGAATAAATATTTGCTCAATAAAAAAAATAATACTCAAATCACACAAATTAATGGTTCTTGTACTAAAATATACGTCTACATTCAGTAAGTGTCTAGTTTTATATATATATAGTACTATATATTCAAACAAATATTTGTAAAAATTTGTCAGTATACAGATTCACGACCTATCCTAAAACCGTTTATGTACTAACGAACGTTACGTACCTACGAAATCCAAAGACTGACTATTCGATCGCGGTTCAAGTTTGCCACCTCCGTTACGTTTATAATGCAAATATGAATCTATTATCTCGGTGATCTTTCTCTTAGTGTTCGCTACAGATCGCAAAAACAATGGTGATGGCATTTAAAACGGAACCTCGGCGTTCTTTTCGCACATAATGGATTCGAAAGAATCGTTTAATTAAATAATACAGATTAGAGTCAGACAATTGCAACGGCGTAAGCGCGCGCGCGTCTTCCTATCTGTCGTGTCGTGTCGTGTCACGTATTTCGTACACGCTTCAAATAACTATAACTTATATTAATCCATAATCAAACTGCCAGTCATTGCTCAATTGTCAAGTCACCGATCTGAGTCATCGCAATCGCAGGGATTACAAGGTTCTCGGCGACATACGCATTACACGCCAGGGGTCAAACGCGACGTCACCGCTCCGTAATCATTTCCACGATTTTGCATTGAGACGTCAAAACAAAAAGCTGGAAGTAACAAATAACTTCGGAACTCGAGTGGAAAATCCAAAACGCCGCGCCGCCGCGAGTCGAGTAAAAAAAAAGAAAATAGCGGCGATTTTCAAAGAGTTCGCGACACTTAGGTATTTCCAGTCGACAAATACTAAGAAAAATCGAGGTGCGCGTATACTTACCGTGGTGGTGTAGCATATCGTTCGCGGAATTATTGATGTTTCGTTGATATAATCGATGTTTGCAAATTGAGCTTGCCCTGGCTCGATCGACCCGGCGCAATGCCGCATCGTCATATTAATTCTTATCGAGAATCAATTCATTCGTGATTCGCGAAGCGATTTACACGGAGACAGTTCGCAGTTTGAAAATACGGAGAAGTATCTACTTAGATCCGGTTTTTTATTTCCTAGTTAATTTGTGGTTACGCTCCTAAATTTTCTACAGTTGAAATCTCACTACAAAAAAAGCGAAAATACAACTATCCTTGAAAAAAAGTGGAAATATGATAATTTTCCATCTTTTTAGAATGAATTTTCACTTCAAAAGAGTGACATCTCACTTCAAAAAAAAAAAAGTGAATGAAAATTGTCACTCTTTTTCAAGAAGTGAAATATTTTCACTTTTTTTTCAAAGGTGGTTGTATTTTCATTCTCTTGGAGTGAGATTTCACTGCAAAGAAATTTAGAGTGTAGATTTAACCTGATGTGTCTAATCACACATAGTTAACCAAAAATTTAAATCTTTTAAATCGATATATATGAATATCATTACTTAATTCAGATAAAGAAAGGATTTTAAAAGGAAGATGGTCGAGAAAGTGGTCAAAAGAGTAGATGGACATTTGTCAATCTCGACCATTCTAACTCTCGATTGGAAGCTTCCTCGCAAATATACGAAAATCAATCAATGAGTGAACAATGTGAAAGTTCACTCCCAAAAATTTAGAGTGTAACGCGATATTAAGCTCGAGACGAGAATCCATCAGCGACTCCGTAAACGTAATTATCCCTCCAAAGATATTAAAAATAAAACATTATTATACTTGAAAACTATTCCCAATTAAATCTAACCGAGAATTAAACACAAACTTGATATTCTACAAACAGAGTAAGTTTCAATTGACCAAAACTCACGAATAAATATAAATTGTCGTAAATATGAAGCTTTCAGACTTGCAAGACTTGCAAGACTTTCGCGTAAAGCAACTGCAGGAATATCTAATATTCGCGTGCATGCGTGCGTGCGTTCATATAAAATAACGTGACGTGGTACGCGATCCGTGCGACGGCCAGGAGCAACGAATGGGAACCGGGCGGAACCATTTTAATAGAGCTGATTTTCGTCGTCAAAGGAAGTAGTTTAAAGATCCGCGTCGTTGTGGTACCTTCGGACACGAAAAATTTTGACAATATATGTTTGATATTGATGTTGAGATTAATAAATATAAATCAGATATGAATTAAAATGTCTCTTTAATCCTTCGTCTGCAATCACATTTTTACCTCTTTCATTTCCGGTTCGAGTTTTCTTTACTTAGATTTTTAGATTTTTAAAAAATGTAGAAAAATTTAGAGTTACTTTTGTTATCTCTGTTACATTACCAAAGTTTTTTAATAAGATATTTCAGAAGAACTTTGCTCCTTTATTTGGGAATACATTGAGAGTGAAATGTCGCTCGTATTAAAAAAGACCCAGATTACAGATACAGAGTTACGAAAAGGATATTGTTTTTAAAAAAAAAACAGCTCTTTTTTTTCTCTTCTTTTCACATTTTGTATCTTCCGTCGTGCCGAGTTCGACTTGGTCGATTTCACAAATGCACGGTCGAAGAGCGACGAATGTTAAACGCGAAATTCTCGCAAGTATCGTCCGCGAATGTATCGTCGTAAGAGGGCACAAGCAAATAAGACTGCGGGCAAACGAGATAAGAAATAGCTGAAATTATACGATACGTTAGAAACGCATGCCGCGGCCGGCAGCGCGCATGCTATTTTCCCAACCTCCTCCTTAGCAGTCCCAGAAGATCGACGAGAGAGAGAGAGATTTTTACCTTTTACCCTCTTTGCCTTCGCAGTACGACGTAATGATAGTGAAACATTGAATCTCAAGCGTAAACTGCAATTTAATGGATTTCCAACACACTAACATCCCGAAGACACGCGCGGGCGGGGGAGAGGAAGTAAGAAAATTTAAAAAGGAGGGAAACGACGCGCGCACGTCGATCTTCGAGACGAGAGGGTTAAGAGAAACGCACGTCCGCGTCGCCTCGCATATATCGCCCTCCTCGTTCCGAGGGACTCGCGCGGATCGGCGATAGCGATTGGCGATTATGTTAACCAAACACGCGCGGTACACGCCCCTGCAATTTGCCTTGGGATCATCTTCCCCTAATCGCCGCGCTAATAACAGGATTACGGGGGTCCTGACCGCGCGGTACGTATACTTATCCCTAATTCGCCGTATCGTTATTAATATATACGATACAATTGAGAACGGGGCCCGGGCCCCCCCCCCCACTCCTCTCCCCCTTTACCCGCGATAAGCCCTGCGATATGTGTATGTACGTGTACACATATGGGGAGTCCCATCTACACGTGTTTCCCGAACAAACTGCCGAAATGCGGGCTCGATCTTCGTTACGCTGCGTACACCGTTGGAAAATTTGTATTAAATTTAACATATCTCACGTATCCCAAATGGTCCGCATCAAATTTTTGTGTTAAGTTAATCTATATTGAAAAGTAACATGTATTATGCAAAAAATTGTCACAAAAAAGGCGACGCTATGTGTTTGTAAATAAATTGAAAGTATATTTGTTTCAGGGTATATTTATTCAGTAATAGTTAATATTTATATGTTAAATTAACACGTATTCATTCATCTGAAAATTTATGTTTTAAAAAATATATTATTTTTATGTTACCTGTTCACTTATTCATAAATTGTGTCATCATTTTGACACTTTTTTAGCATCAAAATGACACAATTTATGAATGAGTGAACAGGTAACATAAAAATAATGCATTTTTTGAGAGAAAATATTTAAATAATATAATCACATTACGTTAAATTGACGCTCGAGAATATATTAAAAATTCAATATAAAACTTGAATAAAAACGTAAGTGGATCCGTTTCCAACGCAAAATGTTTCTTACAAATGTAATGTTTGTGTAACGTACGTTCCTCTCCCCCCATTTTCGAGGACGTACTTTATTTCAATGTGAAAAGCCTCGAGTTCACGACGGTGCGAAACTCGCCTAACGAAGGTCGCCGACGATCCGATCCGATCCGATCGTTCGCGAGGTACGCGAACCAAATTTATTACACCGCCGCGCGCCAGTGCGGCGTGCGGATATTCATGAAATAAATATGAGAGGGATAGGAAAAAGAAATGGACTTACGTGTAGTGCGAATAAGACGGGCTGGCTTGATCGATGAGAGCGGCGGTTGACAGGCCTTGCGCGATGGCAGTCGAGGGATCCCTAGCTGGCGAGGAATTCTGCGTCGCCGCTGCCGCCGGTATAGCGTGATGGTAGCGCTGGCACATTTCGGCCAAGTTCCACCCATGGGCATCCATATATTAGCACTGCTTCGCTTTTCTTTGGCGTACCATCCATTTCACACGCGTTGCGATGCACACTCTCTCTCTCCCTCTCCCGGTTCTTCCGTTGTTTGTCTTTTTCCCCTTTTTCTTTTCTCTTCTCTCTCAACGATTCACTCGCGTTCCTACGTCCCTATGCGTGAGGTAAACACTACACTCGCGACGACGATGATGTACAACGTCCAGTCGACGGAGACGTCCTGCGTGCGCCGCGATTCTCCGATGACTTCGCCGCCTCGCCTCCGGCAGGCACGCGCACCGCCTGTTAATCAGGAAAACAAATCCATTTACTTGGCCGTTAACGACACGCGTATACGTATTTAGAGAATGATCGAGAGACGCCGTTTAAAAAAAGACTCCACACGACTCGCATGCCGGCAACCGTTATGAATTGAAAATGAAGTTACGCCTGTCTGTATCACACTGGCGATTGGCAATTGGAACTCTTGCAGCTCTTGACTAATCGAAAAAGAACTGCTAATCAACTCCTTTCTGATTGGGTCAAGAGATACAAATGTAGACGCAATCGCCAATTCGTCGATAGTCACACTGCACGAAAGCTTGCGACATTTTCAATTAATATGCAATATTGCTAGAATATTACAATGTTGCTGTAATATTGCTGAAACAATCTGTGCTGTATGGGTAGCGTGATATGGACATTACCAACCTTTATCGGCGGGCAAACGACACGACGGAATAAATAATTATTGTAAAAATTATGAAACAGCGAGTAAAACGAAAAGAACGGTTTTGCTGAGGTATTTAAATCTTTAGTTAGATACGGATCTGAAAATATAATTTTGTTGGACTATTAAAATAATTATGTAGAACGTTCAACTGGATGTTAGAATGATAAAACTTTTTTATAACATTGGTCATCATGCTTAAGTTTCCTATCATAATTATGGCCTAACAAAATTATTTTTAGATCAGTGTAGCTACTTTTAAATTTTTAAAAGCTTTAGCAAAGTCATCCTTTTCGTATGTACTATAATAACATGTCACAATGTCGTGTGACATAAAACTTCGCTTACGGAAATGAAAAGTTATAAAAAATATTGTAGCAAATATTTGTTTGACGCGGCGCGATGCAAATTATTCGGTGCAAAAAACATGAATGTTGGTGAATTAATGAACTTATGAAATTAGTTTCCGTTGCTGTTTATTCGATCATAATGAGATTTTAATAATTCGCGTTATTGCGGCGAATTTATAAAATGTTCTCCAGCAAAGTTTACAACTTCAATGACTTTCAAATGCGCGTTCGAATACCTAACGGAACAACTAAATCTCGCGTTACGTAACCCTTTCCCCCCCCCCTCTCTCTCTCTCTCTCTCTCTCTCCCCTTGATCTAAATGCAATTTAAAGCTACGGTTAATGAAAGTGTCCGTTTAATTTCTAACTGCGAACGGGTTAAAGAGGTTCACATAAACGGAGGGCTCGAAAAGCCATGTTGGATAACGATCGGCATCTGGATCGGACGGATACGATCGACTTCTATTCGTGCCTCAGCGATTGAGCGTTAATAAGCGTCGTGCAAAGGTATCTGTGAAATAACTATAATCACACATATACACACATAAACTCGCGTGCGAGTTACCGTCGGACGAAAACGATCGCCAAATCGCATTCTTTTCTCGCTCGTGATCGAGGAAATGAACGGCAAGAATTTTCGGGCGGGGGGTCGGAAGATCGACAAAGGATCGTGCAAGGATACGTGTCGTTGAAGCCAGATGCTTTCATCGCAAAAAGATGGAAAATTAAGGTACGATTAGAAAATTCTTATACGTATAATATATCTAGAAAAAGATATTTAAAAATCTATTTGTGATATATAATATTTATTTTATTGAAGTGAATCCTTATTTAAATGTAGCAAAGTAAAATTTTATCCTTAGCAAATAAATCATCCATTTTATTATATTTATGTATATTATTTATTGTAAAAAAAAAATAAAAGATGATTTATTTGCTAGGAATACAACTTTGCTGTATCTAAATAATAGAAATGTATATTTCTCTCATCAATTGATATTTTTTTATAACCAATAAATATTGAAAATTTCGATTCTTTTTCAGAATAACAGAATAACGAGATATCGAGATATTAAATAATATACTGATTTCTTGTTTAAATAAATTTTTTGTATTAAATATTAAAATTGAAAATATAGTGAAATAGTGTGTTAGTGAATTAAGCACAACACTTCCCCTCTAAAATACAAAAAAAAAAAGAAAAATATTTTCACTTTTAGCTACAATTAGAGTACCCGAGTTGTACCCACTATAAGTAATTCAAAAAATTCCAACACTTATCAATTTTAATAATCTTTTAATGCAGACATCACGGCACTTGGAAAAAGTGTCATGCTGATAATTTATCGCAATTCTAGCAACATTTCTCGTTAGTTATAATAGCCAGAATGTTATATGATTCTTTTTTAAATAAAGTTCAGGCTACTACTTTTTCAATTTTTTAGTATAAAAAAACTCTTTTTTATTTTTATAAGGAATTATAGAATTATGAAGAGAGAGAGAGAGAGAGAGAGAGAGAGAGAGAGAGAGAGAGAGAGTGCTACTGGAACTGTCATTATTTTTTATATTGTAATAGAATATAATAATAGAATATTTTGCTACTTTACATTATGTAACTTTACGGATCCACATAAATTTGGATTGTGAAATTAACTCGCTATTTTATTAATATAAAAAAAAAAGACAATTCCACTAGCATTTTCCATAATTTTACAGTTCCTGATCAAAATAAAAAAAAAGTTCCGTATCGAAATAAAAAAAAGAGGACGACGATCGACACGCGTCGTATAACATGTTACATTAGCGAAATCACCGGCGGTATTTCTTGGCTAATTGACTCAAACATCACAACAAGATATAAATAAATTCTCGAGAAGTTTCACGATATAACTTGTAAATACCCGATAAATACTCAACGATACCTGGATCTCCGGTGCGGAACGGCGTGGCTGTTTTCTAATTTATCGTTCATGAATTCGATCCGCGAGTGCGACAAACACAAAGATAATACACGCACGTAACAGACAAACGAAAGTACGCGCATAAAGAAGCATAAAGAAACGCAACTTTGTGGTTTTAATTTCTTCAAGAGGGATTAATCGTCGACTACCGAGTTGGGACGCCGCGCCGTACATTCGAGCCGTTTAAGCGTTTAAGCGGTCAGACGTTAATCACGCCGGTAACCAGCGCGATATCGTTATAAAGCGGACCAATCGACAGTAAATTACCGGGCCCGTGCGGTCGGTACCGCGAACGGTAAAACGCCCGCGATTTTCCTTCACGAAGGTGGCAATTAAGCGCGAAACGTTACGCGCGAGACGTCTCAACACCGAAACCTAAGAAACCCGATATCCGCAGGGCTCATTACGTTCGCGTACCACGCTCGATTGCGATGACCGGCTCGCAGTCGACGCGTACATTACGGTTTTGCCACGCCTTCCGACAAAATGTAATCCGAGACTCTCTCCCCGAGAAACTTATCCCTCGAGAGAATTAAGAATTCGTAAAGGCCGCAGCACAACGGACGTTTTGCATAACGCCGCGTTGCACGAAGCAAGTAAGACATAAGAGAATTTGACCGATCAGAGTATAAAATGAAAGACTCCGATTGGTCGATTATCTTATGCCTTATGCGTCATACAGCGTTACGCTAAAGTTCGTATCGCGATACGTAACTTACGAGCACGCGTTCGTAACGATTGTAACTTCGCGCGAGCGACTCGCGTAACAGTGAAAATGAGAAAGAACAATAACAATAACAAAAATAATCTTTCCGTTCTCGAATACACTCTAAGCCGCGAGGTCGCGATAACGACGGAGCGAGTTGAACGGCACAATGCGCGACGCGTTCGCCGCCGACAGGGATCTCTACGCGTATGTATATCGTATACCTGTATACGCGACGAAATCGTAAAGTCGTAAAGTCGCACGATGGTTTGCGTATGTACGTACGTATATACATACGTGCCACTGACGGAGGTCTCAATCCGCGATACTCGCACGCGCGACATACACGCATATACAACGCTTACACTCGTACACACTCATACACAGAGAGAGAGACAAAGGCGAGACGCGTAACGCAATAATAATCATAATGCCAGATCGATACAACACGCGATGTTCGCTCGTCGCATCGACCAGCGAGGATGCCGATGACATGAAAGCGAGGAGGAATGCGCGCGTATAACGACGACGACACTTAGTCGGCATCAAGCAGTCACTAAATTATTAGTTTCTACTAGTTGCTTGTTTCATCCCTCATCCCACCTTCTCGCGATACTCCCTCCCGTGCGATACTCGTCACTAAATTGCGTAGACTTGTACACGTAGAGACAGGCGTATGACGTGCGTAACCGCGACGAACGCGCACGGTACGTATAATAATGTATAATAAATACGTATAACGTAATAAACGCGCGATTATCGCGCGCGGAGAGGCGCACGGATATCTCTCGATAAATCAACGAGAGTATAAATCAATATTATCGGTGTGCTTTCTAAGTTGCAGTGTTTCGCGTTATGGAAGGCAGTTCAGACTACAGAGACTCTGTATTATCAGAGTCTAGCCACGAGGGATTTTGTCAAAATCCTGAAAGAAAGAGAGAAAAAATATATATATATACATGCATATATGTGTTATTGTAATGTGTAAATAGATTCTATTTTTTTTGCAATTTTTCTTAATATATGTAATACTTTTTTCACACTGTAGATGCATTCTATAAGCTTGTATTAATGTTATTTGTGCCAGCGTTTGAGAGGATTCTCTCATCCTAGAACGCTTAATAAATAAAGTTATCTATAATCTATTTATTTATGTTTTCCTCTCTTTCTATGTTATATGTTACTATCTGTACGTATATTATCTCACTCTAACTTATACTCTTTTCTCTCCTCCTCTATCTCATTTATAATCTTAATTAAAGTTATAAAGTGAAATAATATAAGCTAAAGTGAATAATGTATATACAGGGAAATACACATATTTTTCCCTCTTATAAGATTTTGAAATCGCTCATGCAGGGATCGCTCTTTTCATTTCTAGACCTAATGTTTCATTTACCATAGTTATAACTTGTACAGGGTGGGCCATCTATTGGTACGTTTTTGAATTTCGTCGTATGGCAACACCGAACGAGCTACAGACCCGAAATTTTGACAGTTTATTAGTCATACCGTCCGCGGCACGAAACAACATGTTTTCTCTTGAAGAGCGTTTTGAAATTTTAAAAACTTATTTTCAAAGTCAGTGCTGTGTCGCCGAAACTGTACGAATTTTGAAAAGAAATATGGGTCGTGATAGAGCACCCACCGAAGGAGCTATACGCAAATTGGTGAGGAAAGTTCGTGAGAAAGGGATGTTAGTGGATGACATTATATTACGACTGTTTTGAGTGAAATTGGCGCCGAGGTAGTCCAAAATGTCATTAATAATTGGAGTGACCGAATGGCATACTGTAAGGCCAGTAGAGGGAGCCACATGAACGAAATCGTTTTTCATTCTTGACGCGGATACTTTTAGCTTCACAACAAAAAAAAAATTAATAAAAAATATCAATGTATGCTCATTTGATCGCATTTTTAAAAACGTACCAATAGATGGCCCACCCTGTAGTTAATATAAAATTATATTTTTCTATCTATGATTAATCAATAGACTGATAGTTCTATAGTGAATAACTTTTAAAGTTCTCGCACTCAGAGAAAAATTACGTTTAAATTGAAGAAATCGTTTCTTTCGTTGATTTTTGAAGTCGAAGTGAAAATTACTTTTAGAAAAAATAAAATTGTACTTGATTTCAAGAAATTACATTCAAATCAAAGAAAAATTTATTTGATTTCCAAAAATGATGTTCAAATCAAAGAAGGATGCACTAAAAAATCATCCCATTAGTTTATTAATTAATCATAGCTAGAAAACAATTTTTATATTAATTATGAAGTTAAGATGCACGAATTAAGATTTAGAAATTCGGGGTATATTGAATTTTATCCTTACAGTTGTTTTCATTTTTTTATTATTTCGAACCTTTGCTTCAGATCAAAGGTTTGTACCAATTCAGTCGAGCCAGTTTCAAACTATCAGAACTATACCTGTACATTATTTCAATTTGATTACACTGCAATAAAATTTTGTAATGCACAGATTCTTGACAGTCACAAATTCGTTTGAAAGCTTAGCTTAACAAAGCCCTCACATTTTCAAATTTATTTTCTTTTATTTTCTTTAAGAAAATATCCGTCACCGTACATATGGGTGAAGTTTCTGAATGCAACCTTAACGTCCGGCAAGTAAGGGTATGAGTACAAAGGAAGCAAATTTTCTGCTTTCCGGCTGCTTAGCGTCAAGTTTCCTTTACACGTGTCTACTGTATCCTCGTCTGTGCCAATCGGTGCTGGTTGGAAAGCAGAAAATCTGCTTCCTTTATGCTCGTACCCTAAAACATTGTCGTAAGCTTGTTGAACGCATCGTATTTTGCTGAGAGAAAACCTGCTCAGGCGTATCCGTGGCGCTTGTCAAAAGAATAAACGCGTCAATTACGTCACTACCGCGAAATTACCACAGAAGTTTCCTTCTGCTATTTATTCTTTTTCTCTCTACTACACCTATTATATACTTACGTTATTTTAATATTATTATATCATCTAGGAGTGATTCGTCGGATTAACAGCTTGCGCTCTCCGAACGTGGATTTAGCGATAATAGTTGAATTCCTGCATGCGTTCAAGTAGAGAAGCATTATTATTATGTGCATAATTGCGGCGCTGTTGCCGATCTCTTTGATTCGCGCCTCTCCACGTCGCGGTAAAACGAAGCCACGCTCATCGATCGCGTGCGCGATTCTATCGTGGATTTTCAGGAGTCATTCGCAAGAAAGATTCTGCCTCGTCAGTGACTCGCAAGCATCGATATTCTCGCCTCACTCGCCAGGAAAGCCCGGTCACAAATCATCAGTCGTTATCCAGATAACATACATGTTGCATAAGATGTCTTACAATTAGAAAAAGTCTTAGGCCGGAATCAGACTATTGAAGATTGAGATTGAAGATTAAAATTTGAAATAAAAGATTGAAATTTCATCAATAAGGATCAAGAAATTTTGGCTTCTTTTTTTCTGATTGGTCAAACTTCAATTTTTCAATCTCATTCTTCATTAGTTCCGTTGTAAAGATAATACTTTTGTATCATTAAACTTTCATTTAAAAATGCGTAGTCTAATTCCGATCTTAGAAGAACGTTTACTTTTTTAGATGTCTTTTGTCTAATAGCGTTTTTTTTATTGGCGCAGAACTGACGCACACTCAGTGCACATTAAAGCCATTATACACTAATTAATCTAAACATACACATTGATCTAAACGTAAAAGTGAGATATCTCAATTGTGTGTGTGTGTGTGTGTGTGTGTATGTGTGATAAAATGCCCAATGTGTATATTTTCAAATAGCACAATAAAATGTATCGAGAATTTCGCGGTTTAACTCGTTTTTATTTTTATTAAATATACATCTTTACATCGATTTGTATATAACGGCTTTAAAGTGCACACTGAGTGCCTATGAAAAACGCTATAAAAGAGTAGATGTCTAATGCTCGTTTCTATTAATGTAAATTAATTTTAATTTCGGTTCAGCTTTACTCTTCATCTTTTTCTAATTTTAAAACTAGAAAAATGAAGAGCCGCGATTAAAATTAAGAGAAATTATATTCATAGAGGTGCTAATACGGCTCTGAATTACTTGTATAATATCTTAAGATTGTACTTAAGATGATCTTAATTATAAAAATTGACTTATAGTATAAGAATAACTTGTAATATAAAAACCGACTATGAATACGATCTAAAAGACATCTTTTAGATATCTTATGCAACATGCATATTATCTGAATACCTAATCGTCATATTATGGAATATAATTGTTAAATTATCTTGTAGAAAAAATGTCATTCCTTTATTTTTTTTCTCTTCTTTATTTATAAAAATCGGTCTCGCACTCGGAAATGATACAGTCAGTAATTCTTTCTATTCAACCTTCGAAAGATAAATTGAATAAATGTTGTTAAACAAACACAAAACGTTGTTAAAAATAATTATCGAAGAGAGAAAGATAGTTCGTTAGAAACTTTCAGAAAATTTTAACCTTCGTACTAGCGGCTCTCTTTTAATATGCAATAATCTAAAGCCGCAGTAAGGCACATAATAAGCAGTAAGACGTAAACAATAAGCAAATCAACGTTTTTTATTTCTCTAATGCTTATATTATTGCTTTACGTTTATCTACTATGATTGGTCCATTCGTTTACTGCTCACGTCTTACCGCATTGCTTTTTTCAGTATATCACGAGCTTAACGCTTCTTTCTCTCGACAGTTGAAAGGATTAAAGTTACCAGTTGGAGACGACCTGACAAGAGTTTTTCGACGGCGACGTCCCTACGCCGCTTTCGCCGCGCAATGACGATTCTCAGGTTAAATCGATCCGATCGAAACGGGATTATCTCCCGCGGGCGATGGACGGCACGTGAGTACGTCGAGTCTCTAAACCGAACGTTAACGAAGGTTTCACCATCGATTTTTTCAGAAAATCGCCTGTACACGCTGCACCACGCTCTGCCTCTCTCTCTCTCTTTCTCTCTCCCTCTCGCTTGCTTTCTTTCCCAACCGTTTTTCTCTCTTTCTCTCTCGTTTACGCCCACGCGCGCGCGGCCAACCACGGAACCGGCCGGCGGGTAAGAGAGAGTGTATTTCTCGCTTATTATCCTTTCCTTCGATTTTCTACCGAAGAGAAAAGAATACGCCGAAGGAAGGTGCCGTCTATGTATATTATATGTGTTTACGTGTGCGTGTGTCGGTGAATATCGTCGGTATCCGTGACGTGTGACTCACCCGCACACGCGGCCCGATGTACTCGCCGGAGATTTACAGCTCATTACCGATTTCATACCTTGGCGTCACGATCGATACGGCGCGGCGCAGCGGAGAGTCGAGCGGAGTCGAGCGGAATCGCGCGGAATCGCGCAGAGTATCGCCGTCGTATCGCGTGCCATATCAATACGTGAGACCGCGCGAGCGATCAGGTTTCGCTCGTGGAAAACGCGCGCACGATGCGCTCGCGCCAAATGACTTTTCTTTCTCGTTTACCTTTGTCGTCTTCCTCCCACGGAGGCCGTTGGACGGCGATTGCCTGCGATTTGCCTGGATGTGACGTTGAATGAAAGGATCCAAGTACGTTTGTTTTTTTTTTTGTTCTCGAACCGACGACAGGAGGAACACCGGAAAGGATTGCGAACGTGGATCGCGTTGCGTCAAATATTCATGTCACTGTCGAATTACGACGAATATCGGTGCTCTCATGTTACAGCACAAATGTCTCGTTTAAGAATCTTGTTGCAGCGATAACACCGAACACACTAAGGTGGAACGCGAAAGGAGCGTTTTAACATTCACAATGGGTCGCGCGCGTGTGTGATCCGTCAGGCGTTGCACACCCGCGGAAATGTCAAACGACGAGGATGTTGGGCCTTGCAGCAGCAGCAGCAGCAGCAGCAGCAGTAGCAGTAGCAGCAACAACAGTGGCAGCAGCGACGGCGGCAGGAACGGCAGCGGCGGCCGTCGTTCGCGTGGGAGTGTGACATAATACCACGCTCCGTTCCTGCGCGAGAATCCTTACGGAGGCACTCACCGCGCGGATCTTCCGTGTCCTCGTCGTGTCCCGAGTCGGGTCTACTACTGTCTCTATTCTCGCTTCGATATCCGATATTTCGATCTCGATCTCACTGCCGTAGGTTAAATAACAACAAGCGCGTTTCGGCACTGCACGCAGCAATTCCGTACGTGTCACGTGTCCGTCAATCTTCCTCCCGTGGAAGATTCGTTTGCTGTACACGCGCGCGACAGCAGCCGGCCTATCCGTCCCGTCCGGCGTCCGCCTGACTGCGCCTGACTGCCTTGGCTTTGCGGCTTTGCCTCGCCTGCCTGCCTGGCTCGGGCTCGGGCTCGGGCTCGCTCGCCTCCTGCACGTTGCCGCGTTCCGTCGTTCCGTGCTACACACGACGACTCGGGCCGAGCGCGAACTGAAGTCAGGCGCGCGCGCTCCGTCGAGGTGAGCGGAGGTGACTTGCTACTCGGGCCCGGCGCGGAGCGGAGCGGAGCGGCGCGACGCGACGCGACGCGACGCGGTACAGCAAACTACCACGAGCATCGCAGCCAGTGGCGGCGGCGATGTTGCGCCTGGTCGAGCGTATATGAGAAGGAAGCGGGCGCAACATCTATGTATGCGTGAAATGTTTGCGTGTATATGTGTTATTTACGTACAACGTATATACAGGGTGTTCCTCGAATCGATCGCCATGGCTTTTGAGGTACTTCCTTATTGATTGACAACAAGTTTCTAACAAAAATTTGTTGGTTCCTTAGAAAAAGAATTAATTGTATAAGAAAAATTTCAAATTTCTTCATTTTTTGATAAAAAATCAAATTCAAATTGTTTTTTAAATGGAACTATGTATTTTTCTTTCCTTATTCTTGTAATATATAAAGAGACGAATTCATTGATGTATTATTATGTATTATTTTGATTATTCGATCTCAAGATAATTTATAAATCTGTCATCGATATCTAAAACAGTGAGATTCAAACGTAAACAAATTGTAAGAACAAACACAGAAATAGTAGTTATCGAAATGCGTAAAAAAAGAATCGAACATACATAAAGGTGAAGTACATTTACTTAACGCTGTTTTCACACATCAATATTTATTAAAGTAAATGTTCAAACACTACAATACCACCTTCCGCAACACAAAGTTCCATTCCTTTCAATAGATTGTTATGCATAGATTCAGCTGCAATAGTTTACGTTTGACTTCGACTGCTTTAGACAATAGATTCGTGGAATATATGTTGTAAGCATTAATAGAATTATTTTGAGATTAAATAATAAAAATGATAATAACGCTATAACATTAATAAATTAATTTCTGTTATTCAGAAGATTGTAGAAAGAAAAATACAGATCAATTAAAAGAAATTCGATATTTCATTTAAAAATTAATACATTTAAAGTTTTCTTTTTGCAATTAATCCTTTATTAGAACCCAACCAAGAATTATTTTGAGATCAAATAATAAAAATTATAATAACGTTATAATATCAATAAATTAATTTCTTTTATTCAGAAGAATGTAGAAAGAAAAATATAGATCAATTAAAAGAAATTCAGTTTTTCATTCAAAAATTAATACATTTAAAGTTTTCTTTTTGCAATTACTCCTTTATTAGAACCCAACCAAGAATTATTTTGAGATCAAATAATAAAAATGATAATAACGCTGTAATATCAATAAATTAATTTCTTTTATTCAGAAGAATGTAGAAAGAAAAATACAGATTAATTAAGAGAAATTCGATTTTTCATTCAAAAATTAATACATTTAAAGTTTTCTTTTTGCAATTAATCCTTTATTAGAACCCAACCAAGAATTATTTTGAGATCAAATAATAAAAATGATAATAACGTTATAATATCAATAAATTAATTTCTTTTATTCAGAAGAATGTAGAAAGAAAAATATAGATCAATTAAAAGAAATTCAATTTTTCATTCAAAAATTAATACATTTAAAGTTTTCTTTTTGCAATTACTCCTTTATTAGAACCCAACCAAGAATTATTTTGAGATCAAATAATAAAAATTATAATAACGTTATAATATCAATAAATTATTTCTTTTATTCAGAAGAATGTAGAAAGAAAAATATAGATCAATTAAAAGAAATTCAATTTTTCATTCAAAAATTAATACATTTAAAGTTTTCTTTTTGCAATTATAATTCTTTATTAGAAACCAAGAAACTTTTGTCAGAAATATTTTATGGTCAATCCATTGGAAGTATCTGGAAAACTGTAGAGATCGATTGTAGAGTTCGAGAAACACCCTGTATACGTGTACTTGCGACTGTATGGATATATGCAAAGACGTGTTGGTGGACACGGGTGTACCTGGCGGGAGAAGGTGCCCCGCGCAGCTTCGCGGATCCGCCCGTGCATTGGCGGCGTGCATCTTCTTCTTCTTCGCCTTCGCTGTGCGTCGTCGCCATCGCATCGCCGCGAAAGTTCCGCGCGGCGCGGTGGGACGAAAAATGGATGTGAGTTCCACAAAGAAGAAAGAGAAAAAAAATGGAAGATGCGAAGGCGTATTTAAGCAAAGTAGGCGGTGCCTCGGGCGACGAATTTTAAGGATAATCCTTCAAGTGGGATGTTGGAAAGAAAGACATTTGAAAACGAGATATACGAAATGTTCGGCGATCATCTTTTATATATATATATATATATCATTCATCATATATATATATATGTCATTCGCGTGCTTCTAATTAATTATATGTCCCTGGAGATTAGATTGGATTGAATTTAATCGTTCCGAAAGCGATTCGCCCCGCCTCCGGTCGAGCGTGCTAATAATTTCACGCGTGTAATGTAAAGTGCACGATCTATTGCGCGTTTCGATAGTCGATCCTCGCGGGTATGATCCTCTGTATCCGCAAATGTCATTGGAATATGAAATATCGGTGAAGACGGAGACCGGCAGGCCGATTCGCACGCGGGGGTCGGCGAGCAAGGTTCGCGGAATGCGAGGCGCGGATTCCTGATTTCGCGTTTTTTTCATTTTCACGCTGGGCTCACAATGCCGCGTTTACGTAATCGAAATGCGTAGGAAGCCACGCAGATTGATTAGCACATGAGAGGAGAAAGGTTGCGACCATATAGATATCGGCTAGTGGCTCCATGTGAATTGCACGCGCGGCGAGAGACCACGTGGGTGTCATCACACGCGCGTGAAAAAAAAGCCGAGAGATTATAGACACGCACGGTGTACTCTCTCTTTCTCTAACGTCTGAAGCAGTGACTCTCAAAGGGCGCGTCGCGTGGAAAATTTGGGCACATTGTGATCGCTACGCGGACAGAGAAAAGGATCTGTACTTAATTTTCTTAAATGAAAAAAATATTTCCTTCTTCGGTATTTACCTGAAGAGTTAAACGAAAAAGGAAGGTAGCATTCGCGAATTGCTGCCGCGAGATTAATTCATCTTTCGGACAATAGTGCGTTACGAGCAAAAAAAGGTTTGAGAACCGTCGGCCTAGAGTGTTAGAGGAGTGTAGGCACACCGCAATATCGCCAAGGGACGGTGCATAAAGGATCCCGATAGCAATGACTATAAATTCGTTCTAAGCGCGAGTCTAAATATAAACTACGTGCGAGTGTACTCCGCGTCGTTTTCGCGAGAGAAAAATCGCGTATTTTTATTCTGTTATTATTACTATATTAATGCGACCTTTCGCGATTACTCGTTTTATATTCCTCCCGGTGTTGCATTAATGCAACCCACCTGCCTCGTTTTAACGCATCGTTAACGTCGGACGCTTCGTTACGTCGAACTTTATCCCATGAAAAATAAATGTGTATGACGAGAGGGGAGGGGGAAATGGGCAGGGAGAACGCGCGTTAATTATTCCGCGCGCGCAAAATCATGCGTCACAAATTAACGTAAACAAGCGCGTTTCCTTTTGCGCGCGGATTCTTTGTTGCGGCAAATATTAAGTATTCTATATTCTTTGCAGTGAAATTTCACTCTAAACAAATGAAATTTGAGTCTATTCTTGAAAAAGAGTAGTTCAATTTTCAATCTTTAAGAGTAAGATTTTATTCTTTAGAGCGACAATCGTGGTTCTAAAAGTTTTAGCCCCGGTTGTTCCATCTTCGAATAAACTACGTGACAATTTACCTATAAATAAACAAAAGAGTATATTGAACTGATGTTTACCGAAAGATATGGAAATAACTCAACTGGAATAACTCGGCCTTGGAATGAAATTTTCTTCAGAAGATAACGTCGAACTTAAATCTGATGGCTCAACAGTCGAAAAATATAACCGAGAGATCACTTTCGATAATCGTATGCACATTTTACAGGACGCTGGTCCCACTTCTATTCTCTAACTCTCCTCTAATTGAGTTACTTCCACAAATATTAAGCTTAATTGAGAATGATTCAAAAGCGGATCCTTCTAAGAAAAATCAATCGCGGGTCAATCTGCGATCTCACTGATAATCATTTTCGAGTTAGTACACGTGCGAGTTCGTGTAGCGTAGCGGCCGATACGCTGTAGTGAATGTAAAACCGAGCGTACAAACTGAATATTTAAAAGATTATAAAACAAGTTGAGAGGATACGGGGCGATACCGTGCTAACTCACTCGACTTGCGTGCTTACTGGCTGCCCTTTCGATAATAAGATCGATACCGATCTCCATGACGTAGCTGTCTCGCGTCATGGGGCGCAAAAAGAAACGCAATAGAAAAGATTTTGTTCACTAATCGTTCTTGATATATGATTTATATTTATTTCTACCAATTAACCTACTACTTAATTAAGTTTAATTTTAATTTCGATTTAATTTACTCTTCATTCTTCTTGGGGAAATAAAATATAAATTAAACTGTAAAAAAATGATTTTACTGAAATGTCTAAAAATTTATCTAGATAGATGATCTAGATAGATATCTAGATAGATTTAAAAATAATTTTATTGGATCACAAAAATAATTATATAAAACGCTTAAGCATTGCTGATAATGTTGCAAAATATTCTAGCGTTCTAAAACTAGTTTGAACGTTCGATCTAATTATTTTGATGATCCAAACAAAAAAATGGGTGCCACGATTAAATTTAACAAAAAATACATGCTGTTCTCAAGTCATCTACATTTGCTGTAGCTAAATTTTTTAATATTTCAGCAAAATCATTTTTTCTGTGTAATATTAAAGTTAATCTACATTGATAGAGAAGGGACATGAGCGAATCATCGGAAAGAAATGCATAAATATCACGGAAAAAGAGCGAACGGATACAAATTGATAAAAAATATAATCAATTTTAATAAATATTTAGTTGAATATTACCAATATTAAATATTTATTAAAAATCTACTTAACAAATATTTATTTACTGTAAATATTTAGTTTGGCACTAATATTTAGTTTGAACTAAATATTTATTAAAATTGACTATATTTTTTTCCCACTGTACAAATTTCTTTATCGTGAATCTCAAAAATCTATTCTATACTTTTCCTTCATTTCGTCATTGAACAATATTTCAACTTGATCGGTTGTACCATAATTGACGGCACACCCTATATATATTGTTACGTCTTTAGAAGGTATATAAAAATAGAGATGGAACAGAAGCGATGGTAAACGGAAGAAAGCGACAATCGTAAGGAACCGTAAAATAAACTGAGAAGAATATCACGCTCGGGCGGCCGTCACTCACCTGAGCGGCTGGTATATATATGAAACGATATAAGTGCATTGTGCTCGTTAATGCGCTGGCAAGCGCGTAATGCTTGCGTATGTGCATAAATATTTATGCTATTCGACCGAACAATCCCTAAAACGAAATGAAGTCTCTAACAGTCGGGAACGTGACGGGAACGGTCGCGTATTATTATCGTTGATACAATATTTCGTGTTGCTTCTATTATCAATCCCTTTAATGATATTATCCCCTCAATGCGGATTATTTTCTTCCGCTCTTACGTAATTTTGATTAGAAAACGACCAAGTTACGAATTAATTTCCAAATTGACTTTTGTAATCTGTTTTTTTTTTTTTTTTGGTCTTTCTCGTTCTTTCACTCTCTTTTTCTCTTGCATTTTGAAATATTATTTTTATTAAAAATGGAATCGAAAAAAATTCAATATGTTTACAATTAACAAAAATAGAGCACGTATGTTAATCCACGGACGCCGTCATTAATCTCGGTTATCAAATTGAAACCCCCCCCCCTCCCCCTAAATACGTGCTGCGAGATATCGATTGCGTTTTTCTCGTTATGTCGAATTACTTCTACGATGGATTTGGTTTTAGGAAAGCTGATAGCTTGTATATGCATCGAATGCAATGAGGAGACCCGATTCGATCGGACGCTCATGCGGGCGCGTACGCTTTTGGCTACATGAGAGCCAAAAGGAGACACAAATAGAGAGAAAAAGAGAAATTCATTGTATTCCAAAGAGAAAAGCGTCTTCCGAGAGAGAAAAGAAAGACATAAGCTACAAATTAGGTACAGATAAAATATATATCACGATGAAATATATATGCGAGAGAAAAAGAAGCAAACAGATTTATCATAAATTCTAGTAAAAAATCCTTAATAATATATAGCATAATGATAAAAAATATGGATTAAGTAGAAATACAAAAATTCAAATAGAAGCGTAAAAAAAATAACAGATGTAGGAGTAATGATAAAAATAATAAAAAAGATATCCAAAATGAGAAATAAAAAGAAAGAAAAGAGAGTCATAAGTGACGAAGAAAACTAGAGGAAACTAGAGAGAAGAGATCAAAGAGAGAGAGAGACGCAGAAGCGAACCAAGGGAGACGGACTCGCTCGAGCCGCGCGAATGCCACTTCTCTCCTGCTGGAGAAAGAGAAAGAAAAAGAGAGAAAGAGAATCAAATGATGAGATAAAAGAGAGAGAGAGAGAGAGAGAGAGAGAAAGAGAGAAACACGTCACACACAGCCAGTGCACAGACGTACCCCTTCTCCACGAGTTCCGTCGTGCACGTGCATCCAGGTCGCGCGCGCGTGTGCGTGTACAAAGTAGGTCCAGCGCGGCGCGGCGCGGCGCGGAGGAGAGCGAGACGGCGAATGGATATCGCCGTCCCCTCGCGACCGGCGCGACCAATCCGCGCCGAGCGCGAGCTGCATGAAGGCGGAACACGCTGCTCTTTCGCGTATATATTTCGCGGTATTTATTATTCAGTTTGCAAATACGTGGCAAAAATGATCTCTCTCCCGCGCGGGCGCAGACGCTGGATGTCGGCCTCGGCGCGGCTCCTCTTACGGGCCGGCCCGCTCCCTCGGAGCTGGGAGGTGGAGCCAGAAGGCAAAGGAGCAGGGTAAACGACGGAGATATCGGCCGTTAATTTGTTAGAAACGCCACCGGCACGGCCGATCGCGCCGCGTACGCCAGCCCGCGTGCGTGCGTGCGTGCGTGTGCGTATACATGCGACGCGATCAGACTCCCATTTCAGAGCCGCTTCGCAAACTTTTGACAGTCGCGACGAGATCAAACGATACGCCGGGTATTAGTTTCGTTTAATGAGACTAATGCCGAATATTGTCAGGAGCGAGAGTTCCGTTTTTTCGCGAGGGTTAGATTTAATACGCGACCCTTGATAATGTTCGTGTTCGTTAGTCGCCGCCTTGTATAAAGCTGTAGCTAAATGCATGCTCGATTCCAAAGCTTATTGCGACAGCCAATCTTCAATTTCAAAATGCACGCTTCAGATTTGGCTGTCGCAACAACCTTGTAGTTGATTTGCGTCTAAAGTAGAAGCAGTTTAATGAAAGCGTTCAGGCGCTGCGCGTTCGGACGGAAAAGGAGCGTCGTCGTGCGTCCGTTCCATGCAAAACACTAGTAATCCCCGTTTTTCTACGAACGCGTGCATTTACACCATGGTCAGTTACGCCTTCTCCACCCGCGTGTGTTCTACGCCATAACATTTCCGCAGTTAACACACTCGTAGCCGATATCATCTCCTTTCTTTTCGCCCGTTCGCTTCGCGCGTTCTTTGATGTTCGCCAGCACGCCCGTGTCTTGGATTCCAAGGAAAAACGCGATTTAATCGTGCGATCGTAATTACAAAATTGCAAATGCCCGTCCGATCGTGATCATCGCGCGTGTCGTTGCTTCTTAATCGCCGATTCCCAGAGTCTCCCGTACAGTGTATTTAACACGTATTATACGGAGTCTAATCGCGATACCGGGAACGCGAAGCGGAAGTGTCCAGGGATCCGCATCCAGCAAGTGATGCGGTCCATCGCTGGTCAGACGTTCACCGAAGAAACCACGTGGACTCGCTGCTCTCGCCGTCGATGTCGCAATCACGAATTGCGCGATCGTTTAAAGCCGTCGCGATGGCGAAACCGGGTTTCGATTTAATGAACTTCCGGAAAATGGGAAAAAAAAAGACTCGGAAGAAAACTCAATCTTAACTTCCGGGAAACGTGAAATGTAGACGAGACCGAGATCTCGATGACATCTCGCGTGATTAATTATATCGTGAGAAAGTCTTGGCCGCGAGTAGAAATCGCGAGTAGAAGTGAAGTAATCAAGAATATTGTTCTTGTCAAGTTTCACTTTTTCGCGATTGATATTGTTAATATCAATCGCGCCGAAAATGTTAAATTATGCATCGCCGACAAACTACGTGGACGTTTCCCGCGGAGTTCCTTGTTTACGACGTTTAAAAAAAAAGAGCAGCGCGGTTCAAAGTTCAAGGCACTTTACGCCCTACTTCCTCCGCGACTGCGTCGTTCGAGCCGTAAAACGGCCTCTCCCCGAGGATAGGCACAAATTAGAATCCCGTGGAATTCGCAAAAGTCACAGTCGAGTTGGCAACCGGTCCGTGTGTGAACGTAAACTGCGGTGCTTTAATTTTTCCTTCCGTGGATCTCTTTTTTTTTTTCAACTAGTTATTATTAATATCTTATTTAATAAATTATTATGATTTTTCATTCGCAACGTACTCGTCTTTTTGGCCTTTCCACTTCTCTATTTCTATTTAGAATATTACTAGCTGAATTGTACGCGAAACAAATTTTGCTGAAATAGATCCAAAAATTTGGTTAGATAAAAATTTGACAAATCTAAAGATAATTTTGATAGACTATCAAAACAATTATGTTGGAATCTCAAGAATTTTGAGCAATGCTATAACAAAATTTTAACATTCCGGTAACTAATTAAGCGTCTACATAATTACTTGATCTATACCTAACGAAATTTTTAAATACAATACTTCAGCAAAAGCATCCTTTCAATCGTGTATCAATCTTTTTCTTTTTCTCTGCTGCACGACGAAACTTTTTAAGATCTCTTGATATCGCAAGAATCAAGATGACACATTCTTTGACGTACAGAGATCGGAGTTTCACGTATCTACATACTCGTGCTACATACTACTTTTATGGAATTCAAGGGGACTAAGGAAAACTAGGTGATCTCGCGACTCTTCGCGAGCATCACATTTTCCCGATGCAACACGTAGATGTTCTCTCTTCCGGTCGCGAGGACTTTAAAGGCCGATTTTCCGAGTGTGAGCCATGGAGAATGCGAGTGGCAACTTACTCACAATCAGTTGGCAGCGCAAAACGGGAACGTTGTGAAAGCCCCGGTGCGGCATGGCTCTTCATCCTCCTCGTCTTCGCCTCCTCTCGACGCCGCTCGACGTCCCCTCGATGTACCTTGCACGACGGCGCGGCGGCAGCGGTGACGGCCCTCCTCGCTAGGAAATAAGAAATTTTCTTGAGAGATGCGAGAGCCTCTCCGTGCGAGGGAGGAGGCCTAGCCAAGCGAACATAGTTAATTTAGATTGTATCGCGTGAGAAGCAGGAAATGACGAAATATCCTGAGTGCTGACTTATACACACCGCCTCATGTGTACTTCGACCTCAGCCGCGACTCTGCTACGCGGCTCCGACTCCGACACGCAAGGATGATACCTTTTTTCTCTTTTTTTCTCTGCATTCTATATATATAATATATATATCCTATATTTCAATCTGACGCCACCGCGCGGCGAGAATTTTTGCGAGACGCGCGATGTCATTCAACATTTTACCCGTTAAATTACTTTGAATCGTGTCACACTGTGATAGACATCGAAAATTTAATGGAACGCGCCAGAGATATCCGTTAAATTTATTGCAGAACATTTCGTCAGTCCTCGACATCGTGAGAAATTGAAGAAGACTAACTTTTAAACATCCCGACAATTGTGAGCAAGATTACGTTATGTAAGATATAATTCTAGTTGAAAAATTAGCTGTAAAGTGAGTTTTATTTTTTTTTGATGTACTATGTAAATTCTTTGAAGTGAATCTTTAGAATCTCATTCTAAAGAGTGAAAATTGAGCTGAAGAAGAGTAGCTCAATTTTCAATCTTTAAATATGAGACTTCACTCTTCGGAGTAACAACAATTTACTGTAAAAGTTTAGAGAGTTCGCACGATCTCGAGCTTCGACGAATGAAATTCGATTAATTATAATTGTCATTTCATTGTCTCAAATGTCGATGCGTGTATAGAATTGGGCATGGCTGCCAGACGGTCTTTCAAGTCGTACCCCGTAGAAATCTCGTCGGCGCACTAAAGGAAGTGACGCGGGAATAATTTGTCACACGTGATTGGAGACGGCGTATAATGAAGGCTCGAGTTCCGAGTACAATCGGTGTCATCGGTTTTAAACGACCATATATATGAGGATACACGCACAGTACATTCTTATACAAATAAGTAACGCTACGTAAACACAAAGCGTAAATTTAATGTAACTAAATCGAAAAGTTCTCAAAACGTAAACAAATACGTATTATACAAATGAAAGGGCATGCACTTTCCAATTAATTAATTTCTTGTAAAAATGCTCATCGAAAAATTAAATAAAATCTTTCTTATTCTCATTTTTAAATCTCTATTCTTATTTTATAATAATAGTAATGAAAGAGAGAAAGAGAGAGAGAAGCAGTGAGAATAAATCTAAGATAATGTGCGTAATATGTACACATAGAGACGCCGACGCACGTATTACTATAACACGAGTGATACATTTATGTCGGCAAGGTGTAACGAACATCGATGCGCAAGGTTATTCCATACTTCGCTGCCACAAGGTGAATGAGAAGACGTTCATCTATAAGATGTTATAAATAGAGACGTGGGTACTGTATTTAATTCCGCGCACCGGGTTCTTTCCGTCACACTCCCATGGAGCTTGGTCACCTGAAGAGTTACTATGCCCAATTAACCCTTTGAGAACCGTACGCTTACCGGGCATTGCCACTTCCGACGTTGCAACAGTTTTTTGCCGAACAATTTTAGCGGATCCATTATTTAAGCCGCATAGTGAAAAAAGAAATATTTAATATATTTGTATGCATTTTCTTGATTCTACCGCAAACAATTAATTTATGTTAAAAGATTTTTATATGATATACTAGAGTGTCTAACTTGAACCACTCGATCCGACGTCAATCGAGAGTCACGAGTTATATCAACGCACCTTAACGTCGATGACGACCATTACAGTTGCGTGCAAGTACGAGCCCGTTTCCACGTGAGTTCTCAACTGAAGAGAGAAATAAAGAAAGAGAGAGAGAGAGAGAGAGAGAAAGAAAGAGAGAGAGAGAATGACTCTTTAATCTCTCACCTGTGACCCAGACGATTCGCGATACGCGTTCACGAGTGACGAACAGCTCGATTGAAGCGACCCAGATATAGCAAACTGACGTTATTTGTCATCATTTTGATAACAAATAGCATCAACTTGCTACCTGAGACAAAAGGAGGAACGATCCTTCGAGGCATCATAAATATTTCAATCGTCGAATTTCCCGAATAATCCAAAATTAAATTTCAAATTGCACAAATTCGGATGACTTGAAAATGAATCAAAACGTACGATGTTATTTTCTTTCTAAATTAAAAAAGTATAATAAGTTTTTATATTGTTTCGTATATCGTTAACTACGCTACACCCTCATTAGTCCTAGTTTTTCCTTATATATCCAAAATTAAGTAATAATAAAATAAGTATTAAGTAACACAAGATTTCTCTCTCTCGCGAAAAATGTCGCGACCTCGAGTCACGGAAGTAAAACGGAAAAGTAACGTTCGCGTTTTTTATCTCTACCCTGAGAAACACGGGCGTTTCCTGATGACGACGTTGGAAGGAACAGAAAATTCATCGGTCGGGGAGAAAAACGACGGTTACGAGCACGCTACCGTACGCATCGATAATATTCCAAGGGGGTCTCATTAGCGATCCAGGAACGTCTATCCTCCGCCACGAGGAGTAATTATCTGTTACAACGCAGCCGCGTGTGTATGTACGGCGTATAACAGCAGATCAGCGCAACGATTAAGCTCAAAAATAGTTCATGGGAACCCAGGTAAGCTAATCTCCATCGCATTAGTGTTGTTCCATACGTATAAAATGCTTTCCGAGGAGGAAGCAACACGCACCTTTATCGCTCGCGGGGTCATCACTTTCGAAACACTGCGAACGCCTCTCGTCTGCTCGCGAATATCCTCGAAGGTACCGCAAAAACCGACTTCAACTTAGAAATTCATTCCTGTCCAATTCTGTTTTTGTACTGTCGAATTGTTCGGTCGATACTTGAATATTCATAGTTGGTTCTTGTTTTGAAATCGTCTTAATGGTATCTTATAAAATGCTAATTTCAAGACTGTACTTAAAAAACTGTCTTGCAAAAACTGATTATAAACATCGTCTTTAAATCTCAAAATCTTATAATGTAAATTTTCAAAAAAAATAAATAAATTTATACCAAAATTGAGACAAAATAAGGATACAGCGCGGTTAACAGAGTACAAATGTAATAGTAAAAAATGTTTTTCTTCTCTACTGAATTATGTACGATGCATTGTTAAATCTGTAGTGTCAAATTTAACTTAATGTGAATCGCTACTGCTTCTACTAAATATATCGTTATTTTTTTTTTACTAAAACGTTAATTAAATTTGACACTTTATCGTGTCAATTTCATACTACATTGTATCAAATTGACACTGCATAGTGTCAAATGTAACCATTGTTTTAGTATAAAATAACCATATGATCACGTATTAAGTTAAATTTGACACTATAAATTTAAGAGTGTGACATCAATTATTAGTTTAGCTTTGAATGTTTCAACGCCTTTGAAATTTCCTCCTTAGCCATTAAAAACAACAAACGTCAAAATTTATCCTTATCGATTTTAAATCTAATCTCGAATAAACAATGCCAATAGACGATGCCATTCGACAATTCCATTATATAATTATTATCGCTCGCTATTTTTTCGATGTCTGGCTGATCTCGCTTATTTCGATCGTCTTGTACAGCCTTCGTTTTGGGTCTATAAATTAATACAATGCTCGCTACCGTACGATAGTCGAGATCGCGTGCACGGAATCGTGCGCATCGTTCGGTGTCTCTCGAAATCTACGAGTGCTCCTGGTGAGACAGGTCGGGTCCAACTCGTTGCGGGAAAAATGACGGGTTCGCCATTGGTAATCTACCCTGTAGTGTGCACGCCGGTACACCTATACAGGGTGTTTTCACGCGACATACTTGAAAGATGTATTTAATTTGCAGTTTCTACGAATCTTAAGACTGACATCTTTTCCACGAAGACTCGATTAAACGTCACATAATGGTTATCGCGATTTCTCAGTGTTAAATATATTTCTGAAAAAATAGTATTCGTTTATAAAATTAATCTGTTGACGCCTCTGCAAAATTTCATTCGCGAAAGAAAACGTTTGACTAGTTTGACCGTCTATTGCTCGAGAATCACCGAATGAGTTTTTGTTGAGAAAGAATCGCACAAAAGATTCGCGAGTGAAACTCGTCGTGTACGTCGCGGAACACCCTGTATAATCTAGCTGCCGTACCTCTACGGTATCTACCTACCTACCACCCGCAACCGACAACAGGCCAAGCCGGGGCAGAGTCTTAGGCCAGGCCAGGCCAAGCAAGAGTCGTGTAAGAAGGGGTTAAGAAACTCTCGAACTGAAGTGCCTACACCGGAAGCAGGGGCCTTGCTTTCTGGGCTAATAACCGTACCCACATCGACACGCGGGATCTGCGTGCGCGCGTACACGCTTAGAGGAAAGAGAGAGAGAGAGAGAGAGAGAGAGAGAGAGAAAGGAGCGTGAGAGGGAGACGGGGAGGGATCGGAAACGAGGAGTGGGAGAGAGAGGTGTAATATAGCGCGGCGGGGCCTCTTTATGCGTGCGCGTACGTATACGCACGGTCGGCCCCGGTGCGATGTGACGCACACACAGGTGTGTGCGCGAGGCCCCTTATCAGCATGCAAAGATTTTATGTGCGATCGAATCGAGTTACATGCACGCGAGTCACTCGGGAAAACGCCGCGCCGCGCCGCGCCATCGCGACTCGATACTGAAATTTATATCTACTCCGATACGAGATCAATTACGATTATTTTACACTGTGCGATATCTATACGACCTATGTGATTTTTATGTATATATATATATATATGATCTATATGATCTATATATACAAAAAACCTCGATTATCCGAATAACGAATTCGATGGATTATCTAAATATTACAGTATAATTATTGTTTACTTATCATATTTGAATATATTAATGCTCATAATAAATGCACACATAATTTCCTGCGCTATAATTATAACTGCCAGCTTTACGGCGTGTCAGTTATTTCTTACGCTGCCATAATTATAAATAT